AAGGAAAGGAACACACTGAACATCTTCAAACTGCAAAGTACGGCAATTTAAAGGGGAACACAAAGCAGCATACAAATTAATGATCCATTGCCCTTATTTCTTATTCAAGCAAAGTTTACTTAATATCTACCAATGAAGAATAAAACTATCTATGGAAAAAGAAATGCCAAATCAGCAGGCCTGTTTTAGAAAAAGCAAAGGGGCACAGAACAGGAGTAAATATAGGGTGAATAGGGACAGCAAATAAAAGCAAGTTCATCGCCCCTTCATTGGTTGTACCAACTCTTTATGAAGATATTGCCAGGGTGGGGTATGTATTAAGTCTCGTTTGGTATACCAGAAGATTTGATTATTTTTTAAAGGGATGTTAATAAACAGGAATCTGCCATAAAAATTGAATTTGGAGAAACAGAGATGTAGAGAATGAATTGAGACAAAGATGTACATGGACCTCAAATCTATTTAACTTAAATGGTGGCAGCACTGGAAAAGGTCACAATGGCAGTCAACATCAGAGGCTGAAACATGAACAATTTGAGACAACCTGGCTACACTACTATGTAGCAATGAAGATTTAAAGTAAGAATATGACAAGTTTAAAAACTGTATTAATGTATATTTTGAAATTAAGGAGAAACTTCCTAACAGTGAGGACAATTAGCCAGTGGAACAGCTTGCCTCCAGTAGTTTTTAGGTGCTTCATCACTGGAGGTTTTTAAGAAGAAACTAGACAGCCACCTGTTTGAAATGTCTTTAGCAGGATCTCCTGCTCAAGCAGGACATTGGACTACTAGAAGACCTCCAAGGTCCCTTCTAGCTCTATTCTGATTGACAAGGCAACATCAATCTGCATTCTTCATTGATGGCCAAAAGCGAAGATTATATATAACCATGCTTTAATGCTGTCCTAGATAAAGAGAGTCATTGACATTCTACAGAGGACAGCAGTAGTATATTTTGGCAAGACCGTGAAGGATAACAATATATAAAAATAGGGCTCTTTCTAGTGGTCCTAGTAGGTCATGAAAGTTGGATTCTGAGAAAGAGGAAGAGAAAGAAGATAGATCTTATAGATTTGGAGCCAATTATCAAGAGTACCATGGACTCTAAAAGGATAAAATCAGTCCTGGATGAAATAAAGATTATTTCCTTGATGGGATCATCAGCGAGGAGTAACTCACATACTTGGGGAATGTGTGATGAGCAGGTAATGGACTAAAAATGTTATGCTTAATGAAATTGTAGGAAGTAGAAGTGAAAAGCAAATGGATAAACTGGGTCAGTGTTTCCCAACCTGAGTAACTTTAAGATGGGTGAACTTCAACTCCCAGAATTCCCTATCCAGCAAGCTGGCTGGGGAATTCTGGAAGTTGAAATTCACATAACTTAAAGTTGCCTAGATTACAAAACGCTGAACTAGATAGAACGAGCTAAAAGATTTCTGGAAATGTTGATGCTGCAGACTGTTCAGAATGGCCAGCATTTTTTCATTTACTGTTATTATCAGTCATCGGGCTCAGGTTAAAGGCCTTTAACGGTGATTTCAGCTGGAGGAGGAGATTTCCACTTAATGATGACCATTTTGTATTACCTATAAGACAACTGGGAGGGAAAACCAGTCCAACATTAGTATAACCAATGTGTATAGCACAAAAAGTTGAAGGCATTAAAGACAACATTTCTAGGACAAACTTGATTTGGAGCAGTCTTTTTAAAAAGTTCACTGTAGAAAATTCTGATGCCAATCCAACTTAATATCTGTTTCCATACAATAGTTTGGATCTCCGAAAATCCGTGGGGAAAATGATATGTTCAGCCAGATTTGTTTTATTTTTAATTTCAATGTAGAATTTGTTTCTTTTTTGCACATGGGAATTGTTTCTTTGCATTACCATTTATTGTTGCTCTTTCCCTCCCATGTGCCATTTCAGGAAAAATGCAGAATTTATAATGTCTCTCCAGTGTCAGTTACTAATTTTTTTTAACATAGGAACAGAAAAACTGATGCAATTGAAGAAAAGACACCAAGCTTGCAAAGTGGTGACTACTTTGGAATAATTATAAAGCACATAAACACAGATTAATAATTTGGTATATAATTCTGTCTAGACTGGCTTTCAGAATGAAGTTGAAACTATTTTCTTAATGCCATAGTATGACAGATAATATATAAATACAGCAAGATAGATAGGAGTTTCGCTTCTCTTAAACTGGGCAGATGGTACTTAAATTATTTTGTTTCATATAAGAGACGGATGATATGTGAATATTTTTTTACTGTCTTTGCTGGAATATGTCTGCTAAAACCAGCTGTCCTCAGTGAGCACTGTTTATGTCTTCAAATGTTTGTTTCCTGTTAGCACAGTAACAATGCTCAAAGAATGTATTTCTAGATATCAATACCACGTGAAAATTTCATTTTACTAGGTTATTGTTTTGTGGCTATGTCTGTGGCATCTTTTGAAGTAGTGAGACTAGTCTATCATGTGTAGGTTAATTGTAATTTAATTTCACCTTTATTAAATCACAATATGTTCAAAGGGAAAAAATCAATCAAATCTTATGCAGAAAAATAAGGACTGCATCAGTTCAAACTAAAGATGAGCATTCACATATATTTGCAATTTTCTATAGGAATAGGCAATCCTTTTCTCCTTGAGGGGGAAAATCCTTTGGTAAAATTTGTTGGTATGGGAGAAATGTGAGACTATAATCAGAATTATCCCAGCAAAATCATTCAGCATAATAAGAATTATCCCATATATCCTCATACTTACTTTCACATTCATACAATTTCTTCTATTTTTATTCCTTTCTGTTCCTTTTTTTCTCCCTTCCTTCCTTCCTTCCTTTTCTTTCTGACTCTCTTTCTTTTTTCCCCCTCTGGTCTTCCCAACTGACTGCCATCCTTTACTCATCCACTGCAGTGCATACCATAATGGGACAAACAGAGAAAGAGAAATCCCATTTATATGTATGTATTTTCCCTCTAAGCTTAACTGCTGTTTTGGGAAAAACTAAGGAATTACAGCTTCTTTGCAAGTTGTATCCAACTTGTGAGCCTGTCTGCAAACTTACAAGTGAAGACCTGATATTCAAGACAAGCAAAGAGTTACCATAGTTCCAGAAGAGTAGAACTGAGCAGACTATTCATCCCAGCATTTAGAGTATTATGTGCAAAGATTTTCAATCTATTTTATTTTGCATAAAGGTATCTTTGGGGATGTACAGTATACTGTACACAGTGTTTGTCAGCTTCAGGATGTGTGGATTTCAACCCCCAGAATTATCCAGCCAGCTGATAGTCTGAGGAATTCTGGGAGTTTAAGTCCATGCATCTTAAATTGGTAAGCTTGAAAAGCACAGCTGTACTCTGTAAAGTCATCCTGATTGAAGTGGTATATATGTTCAATATTCGCTCATTAATCGAAGTGAGCTTCTATATGATTATTAGATGCATTCACCAAGTTTTTGCGAACAACTGCAGAGAGACAATGTTTGCATAGTCTTCTGAAGGTCAGAATAGAGCTTTGGGGGGAAGTAGAAGGAAATAAATAAATATTTTCTTCTGTTGGTATCAGGACTCGTTGCACAGACCCTAGATTTTGTGGAAATGTCAATTTCATGCTATTTTGCTATACATTTGAAAATAAGTTAAATGTTTTGTACATTTATTTATGAACAGTAGATACTCCTTTGATCTGAATAAACACATATCATATTCTCTGTGCAGCTATTCTCCTTTCAACTTACTTGAACATAAATGTGATGTAGCTCAAAGCAAAATACTTCTGAGTCAATATGCACAAGATTAGGCTGCATGCTTCCATCTGCAAATTATGGAAGCTCATCAAATTCCTCACATTCTTCATCCAACTTGGATTTTGAAGCTGCAATTCTGTTATAAATGTTAACACCCACCTCTAGGTTCTTAAAATTGTACAATTTCTCCAATGCAGTATATTTACCACTCAGGAAGCTTCTGTGCAGTACTACATGATGAGGCCCATAATATCTAGAAAGGTTTGATTTAGGTATGTGCCAGCAAGTCATTCTTGATTCCAGGTCCATAGTTGCTCAGTTCTGATGTGGGTAAGAACAATTTTGCCCTTCCACTGCCTTTAGCAGATGCCTATAGCATTGCCAATAATTTATTCAAAACAGTTGTATAGGGAGGCCCAAGATCACTGTAGATGTGCATTCTCTGTTTGTTTGAATGGAAAAGAGAACCATTGACTGAAAAACAGGGAATCCCATTTTTCACTGGGAAGACCTTCCCCGCATGGATATGGGATATGTTATGGACATGCCCTTATCCCATATGTTGCCATTCAAAGGGACTATTATTTTTTGTTTTATTAAATAAATTTTATATGGCCATCCACCTCACATGGATGCCATATACAATTCATGGTAAATGCGTCAAGTTGGGAATAAAATGGCTACATAGAGAAAAATCCTGGCCATATAATCAATTACTAAACCTCTTTTATAGCAAACACAGACACACAAATCTACAAAATAGTCCTATTAGACTTTTTTTTTGTTTTTTTAGGATAGCTGTGCCATTTTGTCCTTCAAGTCTACATGCCAATCATTAAAATCATTTGAGTGTGTCCCTCATCTTTTACCCACGACCTAGTTAAAGTCTACAGTTTTTAAAATGTGGTAGCCGTAAGTTCCGTCCTTCTGTATCGATGTTTTAAGTTGCTCTTTTATAAATGTTCCTTGTTTTGTTTTTGTCCTTGCTCTCTCTCTCTCTCTCTCTTTTTGTTTTAGCAACTTGTGATCGCAGAGTGCTGAAATAACGCCAAGGCCTCAATCCCACACTTAAAACCTTTCCATACTCATGCTTTTCTCTCTGAAATGTTTTTGGTTTGGGTTTTTTGATTGTTGTCTTGCTGTGAACTTTGCAGATTTCTTTCTGCCACTGTGCTTCTGCTGCATCAGCATTGTCACCGTGATGGTATTTTTTTTCTTTCTGTCTGTTTCTTCCACAGGAGCTTAACAAGTAATCTGCCCAATGTGAATCTACCAAATGTGAATCTCCCTAAAGTTCCAAACCTACCAGTTAACATCCCACTAGGCATTCCTCAAATGCCTGCCTTTTCTGCACCGTCATGGATGGCTGCTATCTATGATGCTGAGTGTGTATTCAGTTCAATAGATCTCATTTCAAGCAAAAAAAAAAAAAAAACAATCTTGGCATGAATATGAATTGTTCATTTCGAGTCAACAGATCTGAAAAGAGAACCATTGCAGAAGAGCAACGCCAATTGACATGGATCTACCCCAAACCTCCCAAAAGGAGGGTGACAGGCATTGAAATTGGGCAGATGGCCATTTTCATATTATTTGACATAATTGAACACATTAAAGATTTTTTTTTTAAAAAAAAAAGTCTGTTTCATTCTGGAATCAATAGTCTTCTGGTTAAAATTGGGCTTTCCAGGATCCCATGGTTGTATATACTTCTAAATGTGAGCCAAGAGATATGTATTAGTTTTTTTTAAAAGTATGCATTGAAACAGAGAGAGATTATTCTCCGGAACTACTTTTGATCTAAAATCTAATCTGTTTTATTTGTTTAGTTCCTAATTTTCTGAATGATTGTCTAGAATAATAAAAACAATCCTCTCATTTTTGGATGGGAGGCATCTAGAATATATATATTACCCCAATTATTCTTGTTTAGTTAATTTTCCCAAGTAACCTTGGATAATACTCAGTCACATCAGTCCTGTAGCTACATGGGAAACAAAATGATCACAGCCTTCCCTGTGTTGAACTTCAACTGCCAAAGTTCACTATGGCTTGGAATTGTGGGAGTTGAAGTCCTTATACACCTGGAGAGCAACCTGATGGCCTATGTTGAATTTCCATGGGATTGCTAATGATTCCAGCAATACACCTAACTAGCCTAGATTATCTCAATGTGGAGAACATTTTTTATATTTTAAATAGCCTGAGATTAAAACCACCCCTTCCCGGTCTTGCTGCCTCTTATTATTGCTAAAATCCTGTTTTTCCATACAAGTTTTTTTTTAAAAAAAAAATGGAATAAAAAAAATATGCATTCAAAGCCACAACTGTTTACATGCCCATGGACCCTGCAGATTATAACATATTCTATCTACATAGTCTACTCTAGACATTTCCCAGGAGATCTCTGCATCTGCTACTAAAAAGAGTTCTGAATTTCTGTGATTACAAACATCAATTTTGTTTAAGAACAGAGCCAATTATTTCTGAACAAATATTTGATATCATACTTTTGGGGTTTTTTTAAAAAAAAATGTTGCCACAATGTTGTCATATTTCCTCATTTGTAGGAAATCTTTGTTCTTCCAAGTAGAAAGATGCTTGATTGCTTTGCAACTTTAGGAAATGCTAAGATTTTTTGTCTTGTCTTTCTTTCTTTTCTTTCTTTCTTTCCTTCCTTCCTTCCTTTCCTTCCTTCCTTCTTACTTTTCTTCTTCTTTTCTTTTCTTTTCTTTTCTCTCTCTCTCTCTCTCTCTCTCTCTCTCTCTCTCATCAGACAAATGTACACAACAGTAAATAAGGATACAGGAGGACACTTTTGTAAACAATTTATTTTATGTTTACATGCATGGTAATGAAATGTCATCTTCTGAATCTCTTCTTTCATGCATCATTTCATGACAGAGGTATCTGACACATTTTAAAGTTGCTTTCAGTGGCATGCCCGTGTCAGTGCATTTGTTCATTTGTAAGGACCAGCAGAAATATAATGCTGGAAATATAAGAATCCCCCACTACAGAAACAAAGTTAATAACAGCTGTATTATTACTATTTTCAGCCACAATGCACCCATCATGCATATGCATTCCCTTGCAGACAAATAATGTCTGGACTAACAAATCATGGTTTATTCAGTGTTTAATTTAAGATGATGTGAAAGTGCACCCTCAAACCATGCTTATGCCTTTGTATTGTGTACAACACTAAGCTATGGTTCAAAGAAATCACAAGTGATTGTGATGTCCTGACTGTTCAGAGGAAATGTATTTTTTCAACTGACATTATTCAGACTCACTCTAGTCAATCACCATCGCTCAATCTTTTGTAAACTTTTTTCTAAACGTACATGTTCTGATCATAATCAAATTTCCCCATGTGGCAACAAAGGATAATAATAAAATCAAATTATAATAAGAATGTTAGTTTGAACAAGTTCTTCATTTTTCTGAACAATCATTCAGGAAGAGGAATCCATTTTTAAATTTCCATCTTGAGATATATATTTTTCCCCCAAACCACAATGATTTTAAATTGCAAATGAAATGAATAGCTGTTCAAAAAAAAATGTCTGCAATTCATATTCATGTTAAGCTGATTTTTAAAAGGTTAGATTAGATTAGGCAGTCTATGTAAAGTGGGGGGGAAAAACCTACTTTACTCTGTGCATGCTGTGTGATATTGTTCCATTTTATTTTATTTTTGAAAAGATAAGAATCAAGGCCTTAATCTTATACATGGTTCCTCAGAGGAAATCTCTCTGAAAAATGACACATAACTCAAGAGTACAGATATTTAAGATCACAGCCCCTCAGCAGTCGTGAGAAGCTGAATACGGCTGAATATGCCACTAAACTTCCCAGTTTGAAATCTTTAAAGAAAAATCCAAGGAACTCTGGAAAAGGAAAAGCCAAAAACAACCTAGCGTTCTTTTTTCATTATTTGAAATTTCTAGAAGCAGATGGGTGTCATCATGTTGTAATAATAAGTAACAGTTATTGCATTCCTGGCTATCTAATTGCTTAAAACAAAAGCATTCTGTTCCAAACACTCTTTTTTTTTTCCAAAAGCAGGATTGGACTGGGTTTTAAAAAGAAAAAGGTAAACATTTTCAAATGTAGATCTGAACCAGAAGAAACCAAAACTAGACTGAACCAATCATGTTTCTAAAACCATGTACAGGTAGTCCATGACTAAAAAGAGTTCGTTTAGTGACCGTTCAAAGTTACCACGGCACTGAACAAAAGCGACTTGGGACCATTTTCCACACTCATGACGGTTGCAACATCCCCTTGGTCACATGATTTACATTTGAATGCTTGACCGCCGGCTCACATTGATGACGGTTGCAGTCAGTGGTGGGATTCAATTTTTTTTACTACCGGTTCTGTGGGCGTGGCTTGGTGGGCGTGGCAGGGAAAGGATACTGTAAAATCTCCAGTCAGAGGTGGTATTTGCTGGTTCTCCGAACTACTCAAAATTTCCACTACCGGTTCTCCAGAACTGGTCAGAATCTGCTGAATACCACCTCTGGTTGCAGGGGTCAATTCGATCCCCTTCTGACAAGCAAAGTCAATGGGGAAACCAGATACACTTAACCCCCGTGTCACTAATTTAAGAACTGCAGTAATTCACTTCACAAATGTGACAAAAAAATGTGTCAAAACTGACTTAACAAATTTCTCACTTACCAATGTAAATTTTGGGCTTGGTTGCGGTCGTAAGTCGAGGACTACCTGTAGGCTATAGTATTTCTTTGATGGCCTGTTCATCAAGAAAATGCCTGATTCTCTATCTTTTCATTGATTCCAGTTCCCTGCTCCTTCTACCCATTTAGGAACATGCTTCACAGTGTTTTCACCCCCTTATATGGATATGTCTGTTTTCTATAACTAAGTCAGTGCATTGTTTGACTAAATTACCTTTGTTGGCCTAGGATTCAAAGAGCCCCTTGGAATGTTGGGAATATGGTTTCCACGTGTGCGTTTAGCTTTATCTTCCCTTCTGTATCATTAATTCAATGCAGCTGGCATCGGTTACAATAGAAACAGTCTTCCTCGTTTGTTTCTATAGACGATATCAGCGTGACATGACAATGCATGGTGTGTCAAATATCAATCACTGTGTTAGCATTAGTGGTATGCGAGGAGTGGGAATAATATCTCGAAGCTTCCTTGGTCATAATCATTATGGGGGTGGGGAATAAGAAAAGGAAGGAAGAAGGATAGTAAATAGATGTATAAATTTCTTAGCATAAAATATAATGTAAAAATTACCTTGTGAGTGGAGGCCTTAGGCATAATTTCAGCTGAACAGAAGTCTAATCGGCAGCGAGACAGGATACCTCCAAATATGTGTGGAAAATCTGAATAAGAAAACAAAACAAAACAGAGCAAAACAAAAACCTTACAGAAACCTGGTTAAATATATTGGTCCCTCCTTCTCCAAAATAATTTTGTTTCAAAAACAAAAATAGGTCAGATGGTTAGTAAACTCCACCCTTTCTGAGCTAAGTTTTTTAAAATGTCTCGTTGTGAATAATTTAATTGCCTGACCCTGATTTATTTCCAGCTGTTCAAAAATCAGGTCCTCGCTCACCACTTGTTAGCACGATATTTTCCCTCCTCGAAACCCTTGCGATAAAGGAAGTGGGGGAGAAAAGGAAAGAGAACAAATCTGGTGATCTGTGAAAATAAAATGCATGAAACCTAAAAAATAACCACATGCAATTGTGTAGTGTGGTTATTATCAAGTAGAGATGTCCATTCTTTACTTTGTAGAGCCTTCAATTCAACAACTACAGAAGGAAATGTGGTTATTGAAAAGGGCTGAGTGTTTTTACCCGTATGCAGTGTTTCCAGATTGAATGTCCATTTCTTACATGACTTGTCTTCTCCGTCTAATCTGGAAAGACTTGTAAGAGATAGGTAGACTAGAAAACCCCAAAAGCCTGATGATGGAGATTCCCCATGGCATTGTTCTGTGTCTTCGGTCACTGTTACACCCCCATTTCGTGTGTAAGAACGATCTCCACATCAGGATTCCAAAAACAGTGAGCTGGCTGTAACCTGGTTGTTTCTTATTTTTCATTTTATCCTGGCAGCAATGGATCAGGAACATCAGAAGATCTGTTTTGGAAACTAGATGCCTTACAGACCTTCATCAGGGATCTACACTGGCCTGAGGAAGAATTTGGGAAACACTTAGAACAACGACTAAAACTTATGGCTAGTGATATGATTGAATCCTGTGTAAAGAGGTGGGTTGAAATATGAACGTCGCTAAATAGAAATGATTCTAGTTGCTAGCACTTACACATTGTTCTATGGCCACTTTTTAAAGACTTGAACAAGCCTGACCCTGAATTAAATATCTGTTCTTACTACATTTTGGATTAGGGAGACACAGAGTTTTTGGGAATCCCAATTCCCTTGTTTCCGTTGTGGCAAAATAGTAGGAGAAAGGAGTATTATGTTCACCCCCTTGACTTATTTATAAATATAATAAAGGTGAGATTAAAAAAAAACTTTTATTGTGAAAAGATCAGTAATTGTGGCTACCTTTTCTATCAGACAGCCTTTTCCAAATCATAACTCTACTTCCAAGCAGAACTATAGGAAATGAAAAATATGAGTTTACTGCCCCAAAAAGAGCACTTTTTCTCATTTTCACCTTTCATCACATGTTATCTGATGCACTTAATCAACTTGCAAGACATTCACTTGTCTCTTGGGTTACTGCTAGAGAAGATGGGCACAGAAGGAAGAGCCAATGTATAAACAGCTCCTAATTATACAAGCTCTGTCTTCCCTGTATGGTTTTGTCATGACTGAAAATGAAATTTAAACTGAGCAACTTTATTATAGGGTTGCTGGAGCTCTGTATCATTTGTATATGTTTTGCCATGGAGCTGGTGTGTAGGTGTATGCAAAAATCTAACTTACAGTTGCTTATGTGACAATTATGAAGAGAACAGGCAAGCAGGAAACATTGTGAAAAAATATTAAATATAAAGTCACTGTGCAGCCAACCAATTAACAGGTTTGTTTAAGTTGTGCTTAAAACAGAGCATTCCTCAGCTTCCTTTCATTCTGTGAGTCTTCTTTTTTGGTCTCTGCTAGATTACTTCAGCTACAAATTAGGTAATACCAGCCATATTATAGGAATGCATTTTTATCACTTGCCGTGATAACGTCTTCACACTGTTTAATTAATATGGGAAGGTACTTACTAATTTTCCTGTCTCTCAATATAGAAATAGAAACAGTCTGAAGTGTATGACTAAAAATGTGACAAAAATTATTTGCCAAATTTATTTCAAACCAGATAGAAACCAAGTAAAATGTCCCTCATACCAATTTCCTTGATACCACCACACACAAAGTGTTGGCTATTATCTGAGGAGCCATCTTGCTCCAGTGGGATTGGCCTGCCCTAGTGGGATTGGCCTGCCCCACTCACTCCAGTGGAAGGGACTTGCTACAAACTCCCTCTGTCGATGGATTTCGGCTGATGGAGTCAAGGAGAAGAGCCTTTTCCATGGTGGCCCCCACCCATTGGAACATTCTGCCACAGGAGGTGAGATCTGCCCCCACCTTCCTGGTGCTCGAGAAAAGCCTTAAAAATCTATTTTTGCTGGCTGGCTTGGGACACTCTTCGCTTTGAGGTGGTTCACAGGATAGGAGAAAAGACCTCACCCCCGTGCTATCCATCTCCTTGTTTTTAGTTCTTATTTAAATCTTATTAATGTTAACTGGTTTTATATTTACCTTTTTTGCTATTTTGCAAGCTGCCCAGAGTCACTTTATCAGTGAGATTGGTGGCATATAAATTTAATCAATCAATAAATAAACTTCTGTTTAAGAAATATTATGGAGGATACTCAGGACACTTATAATTCCGCCATACTCATGGATGCCCCCAATTGTGGTCCAAAAAGTCAAGATAACAGCCACTATGATTCAATTGAAGCTCCACCTTTTTAATGTGTGAAAATAGGTGAAGAATTTGGTCACACCAGCATGGCTGCCATCTTAACTTTTTTTTTAATCACATCCTATGGACAGCCCTGGCCATACAACATAGTTGGCTTGATCTCTTTTTTCTTCTGATCCTCACTGAACTGCAGTGTCATTTTCTCTGAAGCCTTCAGGGTTGTGTTGCTTGATCACAAGAATTATTTAATGCAGTATATTTATACCTCAGCCAAACATCTTCCTTTTTTTTTTAAATCACGCTTCATAGAACCCGGATTGCATTTGAAGTAAAGCTACAGAAAACAAGCCGATCAACAGATTTCCGAGTCCCTCAATCAATATGCACCATGTTTAATGTTATGGTTGACGCCAAAGCTCAATCAACAAAACTTTGCAGTATGGAAATGGGCCAAGAGGTAAAATGCATTATGAAAAAAAAATGTAATTTTTGAGAGAGGAAAGTTTTGCAAAATTTTCTAGATTCAGAAATGTTCTAACAGTTGTAGATTTAGTCTTATAGAGACTATGCAGATAAAAATCCTGGATCACTCCATCCAATCAGTGTACATCAGAGGTGTCAAACTCAAAGTTCAGAGAGGCCGGATTCAGCTCACAGGCTGCTTGAATCTGGCCCGCAAAGCCGCCCTGGAAAGAGTAAAGGACTGGCTCGTGGTGCCTCTGCCAGCAAAAATGGAGCTCGGGAACCTGTATTCACTGGCACAACTCTCGGGCCACCACAGGTGCCCCAACACGAGTGACGTTCAGCTGGCCACATCCACCCTGGCCACACCCATCCCAACCCTCCAAGGTCAAATACAACCCTGAGGCGGCCCTCAATGAAATTGAGCTTGACACCCCGGACTACATAATGCAGATAATCAGATCCATGGTCACTTAGTGGTGACTTTTGGCAAAGACTGATGTGCACAACATACTTACACATAGCCTATTTATGCTTGACAGTGTCAATATTGAGTCATTAATTCAACCTTGGAATCTCTTTCCTTCAAAATGTTGATCTGTCCAAGTTGAAAAGACTTGGACTACCATAAAAAACATAAATATTTAAACTAAAGTCTTTTTAGGGAAATAAATTATTCACCTAATCTGTTGCTTTAAAAAAGGCAGTCTCCGGATGTTATGTTTTTACATACTTCAAGGTCCTTAATGACTCAACTGCTTCAAACTGGTCCAGTTTTATCATCTGCTGGTCTAATTTGTTTTCCTTCTCAAGATTATAACCTAATGATTATAACCATTATAACCTGAGGTTTTCTCATTCTAATGTAATATGATGAAGTAGAAAGACATGCTGAATTGAGCTTGATGAAATATGTCATCTGAATCAGTTTTGCTCAGAAGATTTCAACATTTTTCATCTCCATTTAAGACCAATCCAGGGCTTGGATTTTTTCTATCACATTTTCAGTAATGCAAGCTATTCAATGTTTCATGTGCAGAATCTATTTCCTATGTGTTCCAGTTCAATTTTTTTTGTTTTGTTGATGGATACCTAATCTGGATACTTTAAAAATCCAGAAAGAGGGACTGGATTCAGAGTGAGATTGGACTCACTGTATAACCGGTCAGTTCCTTTTGTTTGCATTTCTTTTTCTTGCTTTAATCTATCATTTCTTTATGTTTGTTTTGTGTTAGCTATCTTTTGTGATTTATTCCCAGATGCAAATTTACTGTTATGGGTGCTAAAACATTTCCCTCACCAAAATCCCAATTTAATTTGTAACCAACCAAACCCCTAAGTCCACGCATACTTTCAATACCAAGAATCTCAAGCTTTCTCTCACATCATCTCAATTTGTGCAGCTTTTCATTCTGCTTTTGCAGATAATACCCCATGAAAAAATATCAGAATCCCATTCCGATCCATTGCAGCTCTGCCTTTATATTCATATGTATGAAAGGAAGAGAGAAGGATAAGTACTAATCACAAACTTTCAGTGATTTTCCTTAATCTGAGAAGAGGGCAGAGTTAAAGATGTGAGCCCTACAGAAACTCTTTTAAACATTTGGCATGATAAGGTTCCAATCACTATAGTTTTAAAAAAATCTTTTTTTGTGAAATCTTTCACCAAACATATGCTAGACTTTTGTATAATTTACTGCAAGCTAAGGAGGAAAGTGGGCAACACAGAGAATATTCTGAGCTGAAAAGCTCAGAGAATAGGAAGCCTACATATACACACATTTTACACACACCCATACACATCTATGTTGATAGTCCATGAGGACTATTCAATTATGGCAGGTAATAAATAAATAAATAAATACACCATTCACATCACACATGGACTACATTCTCATAGTTGTTCATATACACCATTCACACAACTCACACCAACCCCTCATGCTAAAAACCACTATCACAAATTGTCATCCAACATGCACATGTCATCTTCACTCCATTCCCTGTAAGTTGGGAGGAACATGAAAAATGCTTCAGTAATATTTGTTTCTTTGATTATTTAGAGCCATAAAGAACCACCACTTTCCTTCCATCTCCCTCTAAATGTTGCGTCTCTTCACCCAGTGCCTGTTATTACTGCAGTATTTATACTATAGCTTCAGAAAGTAGTAAAGCAGGTTTTAAAAGTTTAGCAAAATAGCCTGTAGAGATTCTCAATCATCCAGTTCATCCTTTGGTTGAACCATCCTTTGGTTGTCCCCAAAGTGCTTTTTCAAAAGGTAACCGGACTTTGTTTTTTCTTGAAGATGTTTCACTTCTCATCCAAGAAGCTTTTTCAGCTTGGATGAGAAGTGAAACATCTTCAAGAAAAAATGAACTCCAGTTGCCTTTTCGGATTAGCAAAAACACATGTGTGGAAAGCTACAAAACAAGCCTTGGAGAATATGATCCCCTAGGGAGAAAAAAAGAGTTTTGGTTGTCCATAACCATTTGATTTTCTGTTAACAAAGTTTCTTTTTAAAGTGTTTTCTCTTTGAACATTTGGTATCTGTTTTTCAGTACACCTGGTTTGTATCTCATAATTCCCATCAGTGAGAAAACCTATTAACTAAAGCTCAGCACTATCCATATAGCATCATCCTTATTCCAGGACTAAAAGTAGGCTTGACTCATAGGAATTTTATATGGTAGCCTTTAATTTTAACTAGCTGTCAGATTTATTTCTCACCAGGTACAACATAGGCAAAAGCCACATCAGCTTACTTTGCCCTACCCAAATCTCTAATATGATTTGTTACTCATATTATATTTGCAGAGCTACAACCATCGTGGAAATAAATTGATAACAATCAATTGAATTGTGCAAAGAATCAACCTTTGTACACTTTAGTACATCCACGTCTGCTTCTCAGAGAACATATGCAAGAGATCCCACAGTGATTGTATAAAGTAGCATTTGCTGTAGTTAAATATTTTAAACAAGTGGCAAAATCTAACAGAGCCATGGATCAGACATGAATTATCAGTGCATATGTTCCTGTCTCATATATGTTTCTGTTTTTTATTCTCTCTTTTGTTTGCTCTTTTATTCATTTCAGTTACTCATGCCCCTTTTCTCTTTGGTTTCTTTCCCCCCCTGTTCCATTTAAAGATGAAAAATTCACACTTAAATGAACAGTTGTGTGTAACTCCTGACAATTATACTAGATTTTCTGCCTATCTCCTTCCTCAAAAAAAATAAGAAGGGCAATAGAGGATTGTAGCTATCATACAAGGTCCATGTATGTCTTTAATTCAAGAGAAAGAAATATGCTCATTTTTACTGCATTTTAACCTCCTGCCGTCTTGCTGCCTATGTTAGGTGCAGTGGGAATGTTTTGTTAGTTCCCGATCTAAGGATTGACGCTATCACTCCCAGGATCACCTAAATACCCCAGCCCAGGAGTGTGGTTCAACTGGTATAACAACCAGTTCGGTGAGCGCACGCTTTGCATGTGCGCGCACAAAACGTGCACTTTGCACACATGCTCCACATTTAAAGAAGCTCCAATATTTACCTTCAACTTCAGCCCCTGTGAATAAAACAGCTGAGGCACGGCCAACGTCTCTGCTGCACGAATCAGCTGTGCTGTAACAAAAAAACATAAAACACAGGAAAGAGGCGGGAGGGCCCCACGTGCTCATCAAAGCAAGCTGGTTCAGAGCCAGCTGATCAGCCGGAACAAGCAGTTCGCCTGAACTAGTCTGAACCGTGAGAATCCCACCCCTGCCCCAGCCTCTTTTCAGTGGGAATCCTCAAGGGATTCTCACATTTTTCATTTCTACTTTTTAATAAATGTCTCCCCTCTTTATTCATCATACAGCTGATCCGTGGCAACAATCAATTTGCAATAGTTTCTCTTCTCAGCAGGTAATGGAATTGGCTGGTCAAACAAAGACATTTGATTAATGAGCTTAAACAAAAATTTCCCTACTTCCACACTAGTCCAGAACAATTTCAAGGCAGAAAGAGTTTCTTTTTATACGGTCGCTTCGTTTCTGAAATATTTACACTTTCTTTAAGTGGAGAAAAATACAAATACTACACCGTAAGGCTTTTCCACCATAATGATCCCATAAACTTTGTTGCAGCTTTTTTTTGTATGATCAGAAATAGAATAATTAAATATATTTTAGGGAAAATATTATGCTAAACACATATGTCCATATTCTCCTGTGTCCTTATATTTAAAGGCAGCTGTTCAGACATTTGGCAGACATAATTTACCCCTTAAATATTTTTCCTCTGAATTTTTAATGTATGGACAGGCAGAAATGTATGTATAAAACATGTTGAGTTTGATCTGGTATGTTTTGTTTCATTTCCAAGGTCAGCTCTGGTCACTGGTGAAAATGCAGCATATATACACAATCTGTTAGCAGTTCTATAGTGCCTCTCACATACAGTTACTCAAATCAGATGGAATCTGGTTAGGAAACTTCGTCTATCAAGAAATAAGGCTAAAGTTTCCAATAGTTTGGGATAATTTGAAATAGCAAGCCACCCTGCAAAGCATTTTAGCTTTAGCTAATGTAAGCGCCCATCATGGTACAGTGTAACCTCTGAGTCCAATTTTCCATATTTATTTATTTGTTTGGGTTTTTTTGTACTATACCCTAAATAAAGAAAATGTCAAGATGAAAACATTACAAAAACATTAGAAGGAGTTAGTATAAAAGCAGGGGACGGGGAACAGAATTCACAGAGAGAAATGTGAATGAATGAAGAAGCAAATCTGAAGGTTATAGTAGAAGGAATCTTTTGAACGCCAGAAAGAGAAAGTATTCCAAGAAATTAATACTATTGATGGCTTAGTATCATTAATACTTGGCTGTTTGAGATGACCTGAACAATGGGAAAATGAGCAGAAACAGCAGCATATGAGGTCACTAATTCTGAAGCAGATGGTAGCATCAATAAAGGAGAATACTTGTAGCTCTGAGCTTGGTTGT